TACTTACAATTCCGGATATTCCTCTCTCATTAGCCCCCAAACATAACCACTAATCTAGCTACTATTACTATGGATCAGTTTTTTGAAATTTGTGTAAATGGATCGTATGGAATATATCTTTTTGTATCTACCATTGTTGCTGGAATAAAATTATACAACTGATTTTTTTCTTATATTCTTATTTTCTAGGAACTTTCCAAATTTATTTAATAATTTTAATGGTTTTCCTGAAATTCTTTTGGCAATATATAGATATTGCTATATATATATTCATATCCATGTCACTGGTGAATGATGGTTTTCTTTCTTTTCCATCCCTTATGTCTTTTTATAATTTTCTTTCCCTTATATACTGACTAGGTTCACCAAAACAATGATGAACAGAAGTGGTAGTATCAGGCATCCTGTCTTCTTCCCAATCTCAGGGGACAAGGTTTAAACATTTCACCATTAAATACATGTCTTTCATTCTTTTTGACTAATCCTCTCTTTGGTTATGCCCAGCCTGCTGTTCAGTCTACCATTTGAGCTCTTGCTATTAGTAACTGTATTCCTATATTGATTCTAAATATATGTTGAAATTCTACATCTTGTCATCTCTCTTCTTAAACACAGATCACATATACCTGCTATTTCAGTGTCACCTATGGGTCTGTTACTATTGTCTACATTCCCAAATGGTCCTAACTGGTTTTTGCTTGTTTTGTTTGCATGGACATATTTTTACTGAGTATACGGGACACTGAAGAGGCTCAGAACTGTGTAATATTTCTCCTGAGATAATTTATCTTATTCTCTAGCAGGCATCAACATTACAGGTAGATCTCCCCACCCCAATTAGGGACTGAGTTGAGTCCAATTGCACTGTAATCTTTGCTAGGCTTGATCTGTCTCTGATTCAACAACACTTCCAGGTTTCTATGAGGACATGGGATCCATGTTCCCAGTGGATCCTGAAATACAAGATTTGTCCCCCAAAGCACCATGATTCTCTGAAGTTCTAATCAGCTTGTTAGTCACTTTCTTCTTGGCTTCTTAGTCTCTAATCTTTCACTGCTCATGAATTGGCAAGTTCCTTGGAAAGAAAACTAGGGTGGAGTGTTTGGCTCACTTTTCTGCATCTCCCTTATCGCCAAGGTTTTGACCCCTCAAGTCCTGGTGGTCTTGGCAGCTTCAACCTTAGGTATTTTGTATCCATCCTTTTAAGATTCCAGAAAGTTCTGCCTTCTTATATCCAAACCCTCTGCTGGCTTCTCACCCTCCTTCCCTGTACAAGGTAAAAATCAGCAAACAAGAATACCAGGTTAGCATCTAAATTAGCTTCCCTTTTCTTTGAGATCTCAGCTTCTCAAACCCTGATTATTTCAAAAGTATTCCAATTCCTTAAATAGACTTTCTGGGGTATTTATCCAGCTTTTCCTATTATCTTTGGCCACAGCATTGGTCTATTAAAACCATTTCATCACCGTGAGAAATAAAACTACTTATTAATTTTTAAAATACAGTGAATTTTTGCCACACACAAAATCTTCTATTTTATTACAAATAAATTATAGACAAACATTAATTTTTTTCATCATAGAGGATTTTGAAAATGGAAAATATTAAATTAGGTAACAATTTCCATTACTACTGAAACACTTGCTTGACATTAATTGATTTTTATAACTTTGGCAAATAGAGATTTAAAAAACTATTCTCAAAATCATGTGGCATTTTTTCTATCAGTGGTTCTAGAAATTGCCTTGCAATAGTTCAGTGAATAATAAACATCATGCAAACCATGCTATTTAATCATATTTTAATTTTTGAATGAATATACATTTGAAAAATAAAAATAGTAATAACTTGTAAGTCCACCACTCAGAATTGACCACTGTTACATTTTTTGGCCTATTTGTTTCTATTCGTTTATTTATTTATTTGTTTCTATTCTTTTAAACAGATTACATATATAATATTATAAAGCTTAAGAATGTATTTTGAAACTTGCTTATTTTACTATTATACCATGGCCATTGGTCATGTCTTTCAATTAATTATCCTTTGAAAGCTATATTTTTAGTGTGGCTCTGAATTCTACTGCATTTAACCATCTAATCCTATTATTCAATATTTAGGTTATTTTTCTTTTTCCACTACTGAAATAAAAATGCAAGGACTATTTTCATATATACACATCTTGGCATTTGGGGGTATTTGCATAGGTAAATTCTTTGAAATAAAACTACTGGGTCAAGGGGCATAGATTTTTAAGGCTCTTTAATGCACATTGGCAAATTACCCTAAGAACCTTTAGGCCAGAGCCTAGTCTCAAAATGAAGCCATATCAACACTGGGTATCATAAAAAACATTCTTCTAATTTACATGTAAAAAGGTTCAAATTTCCAATTCAAAGGAACTTCTACTTTTACACTTTTTATTAAGTTTATTTTTCCCCTTGGGTAAGTTAAGTCCTTTGACCAATTTTTTTCATGTAATTTGTATTTTTCATGTAATATCTAGGCTTTTTCATATTAAGAATAACATTATTTTTTTCTACTGAACTCCCACTAGGGAAAGTAATTATACCAATTACCATAATAGTGCTTTGTTCATCAAAACACTCAGTGGAGTGGTAGAATACACACAAAATTGGTGCCCTACAACAAAAGGCATGTTATTCTCAATACAGTGTGTTTAGAGTTCACACTATTGTAGAGGTAAGGAAATGGAGGGTTAAAGCCAATGGAAACACATCAACCTAATGGACAGCTGAGGACAGTATCCAGCAGCTCTGTCCCTCCCACTGAGCACACACTCACTGGCATTAATCATTATTAGCTGCTTTCATTAGGAAGAACAGCATTATGTTGCTCCTGCAGCAAAATTAGACCCTGCCCCTGGAGTCAGGTGGATGAGAGGTTCAGTTGGAGGAAAAGAGAAGTGGGTAACATCAAGAGCTGCATGCTAAACTTTCCTCCCACTTAATTAAAAAAAAAAATGAAACTTCCAGGAAATTAAATATGGAAAATCAAAGATTCACTAGCAAAACTCACTTGTCAAAATTCAATGTGCTTATACACATGTCAGAAAAGACCACGTGTCCCTCCTGCATGAGGCAGTCCCAGGGTCCGTATCTTGAGGCAGCCATGCTACAACCCATCCCTGAGCTTCCTCTCTAAGGGCCTATGTCTAGACGTTCTGACTCACTCACATGGCTACTGCCAGGCTAAAACTAGATAAAGTTCTTGCAAAGAGCCTGCGAGTTCTACCTATGCATCAAGGTACTACTCTACTTAATTTTCCTGCATGAGAGAAATGTAACATGATCCCCTAAAAATTTCTTATTGACAAAACTCCTATTTTTTCACATTTGCAAGATGCCCAAATAAAAAGCTCTATTCCAAAGCTCACTTTTAGCTAGGCATGGCTAGCCTCCTTTCTAAAGAGATACAAGCCAATGAGATATAATAGAAGGATATATAAGCAGGACCCACTGTGTAGGCTCCTGAGAAAGCTCCTTTAAAAAAGTTAGTTGACAACTTTTTTTGCCCTTGGGATTTTACCTTCACCCCGAGACACAGATATAATTTCTGGAATTTCAACAAATACCCTGAGAGCATGAGGACAAGGGTGGAGAATCACAGAACCAAAGCAAGCCTGGACCCCTGTTGACATTGTAGAGTTGTCCTACTATCCCAACACTGCCTACCTTCAGACTTCTTTAAAATGAGACCTCCCCCGAAATTTGGTTAAGCTACCATTTGATTGGGAGGAAGGGTATTTGTTAATCAGAGCCAAAATTTATTCCTGACTGATGCAATTATCCAAATACTCATTTAACTACCTCGTTTTCCCTCTGTCCTCTCTGTCTTGATCACTATTTTGTTCTATTTAATATCCTTCCTTCTACAACTGACTAAATATTCTCTCCCAGAATCTAGTGCTTAATGTATCACATGATTCAGAAATCCTTATTTATATAGTCTAATATTTTCATCAGGTATTTCACATCATCTAATTTGTTCCTTTGTCAATTGCTTATCTACATAAATGAGTAAATACTTATTACTCATCTGAAAAAGAGTTACTAGATTTTTATTAAGCAGAAAATCTGAGGCATGGTTAATTCAGGATGGGGAAAAAAACCACATAGAGTAAACTGGTATTATAATCAGGAGGATATACAGAACATATAACAGTAACTGAGCCTTTCATAAACTACTACGTTGTGTTTCCCCACTACTACCAATTTATATACAAACATGACTTTGATTTCTAAGCAAATGTTGAATCCCTAAAAGACAAATTTGAATATTTCTGGCAGATTTAGGTTTAAAATGGTCTTTTCGATGTGGGCTGGTAAATTGTATTTTTTCTGATGTAATCTCATTGTGGGTATAGAGTAGTTAGGAATCTGAGAATATTCTACTTAATACTTTTGATGCTACATCAGTATCAATATATATCGCAAGTGCTTGCTATTACTATTGTCGGTAGTAAATATTAGACACTACTTCTATTATCTAATCTCCTTGTCCCATCTGTGAATATCATGCAGCCTCCAAATGCAATGAAATGAATAGAGTTAAACCTAACCATCTCCTTCTAGGTATCTACAGTGACCAAGCCTATAAATTCAGTGAGTGAAGGAGCAGAGTAAATATTTTATTCTCTTGACTGTACTAAGCAAGTAGGAAGTTAAGCCATTAAGGTCCAGGTGAGGAAGCAACACGGAGAATCAGGGTCAAAGGGGAAGGCACGTAACCTTCCATACAGCTATTCTTGGCTGAAGTGATGTGGCCAGTCAAGGATCTGGGCCAATTGTGCCAGATCTTCTGCTTTTTCAAGAGTTCCCAGAAATCTAGATGTTGATCCTAATTTTCAAAGGAAGCTAACATTGCATGGGCCAATCTGGATGATTACCGGGTTACAATTACAGGAAGAGGAGAAAAAAAAACCTTGTTGTTTATCAAGAAGTTATAGCACTTCTCACTGCAAAGACAGAATAAGTGCTGAACATGTGATTCCCAAGTGAGAACCCATGGGCCAACCCAACCAACATCCCACACCCTCAGCCACACACAGGGAGGAGCGCCGCTCCTAGGAATCCTTGGCCAGACTCTGAAGCCATGAGAGGCCGATAACATCCGGAGCCCATGAGATATCTAAAGCCCTGGGTTCAGAGTCCTACACAGACTATGGAAGCCTTGGACTTTGCTGTAAGTTGTCTTTCATTGCAAAAATCTCCAGGATTTTTATAGTATTCAAATTACTTACTTATAGTTTTGACACTTCATATTTCTTACTCTGGATTCATTTTTCTTATGTTTGTTCTATTTTATTCATTACATAGCTAGTATAGACCTTAAAATCTTGGTTTCATTTCTTTATATTTATCACTTCATTTGTAATTGCCTTCTTTTAATTTTGGTTTCCTTAATTGAAACTTTTATTTGCTTAAACTATTTATTTTATTTATATTTATTTCCATTTTAGAAGTTATTTTAACATGGAAAAGAGAGACACCTGGATATTACTGGTTGTGTCTGTGGTATCATGTTATATCAGCCATGTATTTTATATGAATTTTTAAATATACAATATATAATTATATAACTTTATATAATATAGAATATGAATACAGAAATAGAATAGAAAACAGAAAGAATGGTTCAACAGGAAAGGTTAAGACTAGTCATTACCCTAAGAAAGGAAAGTTGATATTGTTTCTCTGCAGTTCCTTTAACAACAGACAATAAGGAAAAAACTGGTCCTTTGCAAAACTCTTAAGTACCTAACTGAATTATACATGAATGCTGTTTTCCCACATTGAATGCTATCCAATCATTGAGCAATGAATTATATACAGTCCGTGATTATTATTTTACACCATTATTGGTCATTGGATTATTGAATATTCTACAGAAATACACAAATCTATACATTTTAGGAAATAAAAAGGAAAATGACTGGGAAGAGAGAATATATTGTTAATGAAGTACCACTCTAAATATTTTGTAATATTATATTCTTTAATTAAAATTAATCTTTTAAAACATCCTGCTGAGGGAAAGACTGCTTAACTTGCAGGGCCTGGTACAAAATGAGAATGCAAAGCCTACTGCTCAGAAAGTATTAAGAATTTCAAACAGTGACGGCAGAGCATTTAACCAAGCATTTAACCCTTCTGAGTGTGCAGAGGTCACAGGGCTACAAAGCTGCCTATTGCCATGGTAGAGAGCAATGTCTCTGATTTTCAGGTGAGGGAGCAGAGATGGTAGAGAGCAACGTCTCTGATTTTCAGGTGAGGGAGCAGAGATGGTAGAGAGCAACGTCTCTG